TTACATTTAGACCTAGAAATCAATGACAATCAAAAACAAGTTGACGAGTGAAAATCAACCATTGCATTTCATAGCTTTAACTTTAATTTACTACACATATATGGTTTTAGTCTATTGTTTTATAGATTCAATGCTTTCATTTACTATTTTTCTTGCCTTTAATGCTTTGTTTACTACATACTTAGTATAGATTTACTATTTTCTTTAGAACTTAGGTTTATTACTTTACTATTTTTAATTCCAAAACTCAAAATCTCCCTTTTCCTACTCCTTACAAGTGAGAACTAAGTCTATAATACATTGTCAAGGCTCACCAAGAATACGATCTAAGTTTTTCTCTAATTATTGCATTATTATCTTGAATTGTATCGTTTGATCATATTTAGGTGCAAGATGTGCATTGATCAAGTAGCCAACCAAGAAGTTCCAATCACCACCTCAAAACCACTCATTACTAAGACATAAACAGGGAGAGTAATGGTATGACTATTAATAGAAACAAAGAGATTAGGAATGCTATGACTACTAAGACATAAACAAGGAGAGTAATGGTATGACTATTAATTAATAGAAACAAAGAGATTAGGAATGTTATGACTATTAAGACATAAACAGGGAGAGTAATGAGGCATTCAAACAAGACTTGATGGATGATAAATCAAGAAAGAAAATTTGTTTAAAGAAAGAGTTCTAGACACACACACACAAACAAAAAGCAACGAGATCTTCTAGCTAGCATAACTTGACTTCATCAAATCAAATTCTCCAAGATGCATCATGTTCATCAATCTCATCCTATTTAATAAAGACAAATACCTCATTATTTATGCACCTGCCAAACAAATCATAGTGTGTGTTCAGATAAGCTATCACAACTTTCTCCCTCCTTTGACTTCATCTAAACATAATGGGATATTTAATAAAACAATCCATTAAGAGTAGCTAATGTAGAGAAAAGTAAAAATTATGCATGGTCAATTAAACCCATATCATAAGAGTTGAAAAGAAAAACATCATCAAAACAAAAAAAAAAAAAAACTAAAAAGGCATGAAAATTAAGAAAGGAGAGATAGAATTCAATTTTCCCATGGTGCCTGATTAAATTGCATCTCTCCAATCCGATTGTAGGTGTTATCTAGTTTATTATCAATGTGTTGAAATCATGCGATTGAATATTCATATAACCTATATTGTTTGGCTTATATTGCATATTTCATTTCCATGTGCCTCCTTTAATCTTGACGAAAAGAATAATTTGAGACAACATGGTTCTCTCAAATTATGAAAGTGGTGTGTCATAATCGGGTTGAACTACATATGGGATCATTTCCATGGGACATGGTTCTTCATCTCTTGCTTCTTCATCAACAGTAGTAGTAGTAGTACTACTAGGTCCTGCACCTTGTTCTATTTGTGCTTCTTCTTCTTCAACTTACCCATATCAATATCTTATTTAGGGATCTAACAATTCTCCATCTTTACAACTCCCATATTGTGTAGTGTTGAATTATCAATTTCATATGTTAGTCTCATAGTCTCATCCAATTCATTATCAGTGTCAACACTAAAATAAAGCATAAATTTGGAAATTAGAAGAGCATGCAAATATCAAAAGTCTACCAATCTTTTGGTTTTCATCATATGGTATTTGATGACAAAGACCCAGGTAACTCTGATGCAATGTTGAATGCAGTACGTCAACACCAAATCCATTTTATTTAGGAGAGCATGATTGTTCCTTGTTGGTGTTAGGTGCTAAACTACTATAAATGCGAGTTACCCCTTCTCCAGTCTTAGTTTTTCATCATTGAAGATCTTGACTAGTTCATCCATATTTTTCATGCAACATTTGAAGTACTATACTTTGTTGAATTCCTCCATCGTCCCAGTGTAACCTTTTGTTACTTATACACTTTCATTTTTCATTCCAGCAAATTCCTTCCAAATAGTAGGTAAAATTTCTATATCTACATCTTAACATGTGTTTCGAGGGTGGATCATTCAAAAGAAAGGCTAGCGTAAAACACTTTTTTCAAGTTGGGATAAATCATACAATTCATCTCAAGAAGTGTCTCCAACCTCTAATATTGTCGTAACTTTTTCAAACCTCTGAGGTTTTCCTCTTCTAGCCAAGAAAAATTGAGAATTTTTGGAGTGTTAATTTGGCTCATCTCCTAGGTGAATAAAATCATCCTCTCATGGTCAATGTTGAACCAAGTGTCTAGATGTCCACCATGGTGTACTTCAAGTGTTGGTAGCTCTAGAGCAAGGGTGGAAGAATCCCCTTCTCTTTCTCTTGCTAGATTTTGAGCATTTGAATATGATATATGAAGAAAGATCAACTAAAATTTTACAAGCTAAGCACATGCTTAGAAGGAAGGTGAACAACATAAAGTATTCATACGAGATTTATAATGGCAATGGGCTTGGACCAGTCAATTTTCAATTTGTAGAAACATGTGTGAGGGTGTTACCAACTTTTGTTCCCTTCATTAGTTACATTTGTACATTTAGAAAAGAATGGGTGTAAAGGAATCTTCTTTAATGTATAAATTAAAAACAATTTAGTTGATGTTTTTGACCAAGTCAAACTCCTACTTTTTTAGTGTCTAATCAAAATAATCCACCTTATCTAGGGCTCACTATGATGAATTTCTATTAGATGCTAACTTTTATGTTGACATTTTGATGCAACCAAGGAGCTTTATAAATATTTTGTTTAATATGTAATTTTTAATAATAGTATAAAACATATATGAACCATTTTATCGATTATCTTACCTTATAATTGATTAATTTTGAAATAAATAAGAGATCGAAGGATTTCGATCTGTTTAATTGATTAATTCGATGATTTAATCGATTAATTCGATGATTTAATCGATTAATTCGATGATTTAATCGATTAAATCAGTGAATTAATATTGAATACAAGTTCTTTTAATGAATTAAATTTTGTTTTAATAGATTAAAAACAAGAAATGTTTTTCTAAAGTAAGATGACATAAGTTTTTTTAATTGATTATTTTGTTAAAATAACCGATTAAAATAATGAGCATTCACAAACATTCCAAATTAGGTCATTTTAATCAATTATTTTGTTAAAATAATTGATTAACCTGGTGACTATGTTGAAAAACTTTTCCTTCTTATAAAATTTTAATAAGTTAATTTAACTTTTTAATCCCTTAAAATATGTATATGATAATGGAAGAATAAGGTATTCATGCAATGTTTACTATATCAAGAATCCCTAGTTTAGTTATAAGTATATATAACCTCTCTCTAGATAAATGTTTGGTGAAAATATCAACAAGTTATTGGCTTGTCTCAATAAACATAATTTAACACTCACCTTTAGAAACATGATCTGTTATAAAATGATATTTTGTTTTAATATGTTTTGTCCTATAATGTTGTATAAGGTTACTTGTAAGATTTATAACACTAGTATTTTCACATACCAATAGTATTTTGCTGAGATGAAGTCAAAAGTCCTGTAATTGGTGCTTTAGCCAAAAGGATTATGCATAACAATGTTCAACTGCTATATACTCAGTCTCTATTGTTGATAAAGTTACATGTGTCTGTTTCTTGATGTGCCATGAGATTAAGTTTGTTCCTTAAAAGATAACATGTTCTGCTTGTGTTTTTCCTATCTACTTTGCAACTTGCAAAGTCAGAGGTAGAGAAACCAACTAGTTAAAGTAAAGCATCCTTGGATACCAAAGATTATCATTTGTGGTTTCTTTAAGGTGTTTTATCTCTTAATAATAGCAAAATATGACTCTTTTGGAGAGGCTTAACATCTGACACACATGCAAACACCAAATATAGTGTCAGGTATGTTAGTTGTCAACTAAGGGAGAAAGCCAATGAATCATATATACATGGTTTGATCTATAGGTTTCCCTTTCTCATCTACATCAAGATAAACATTGTGTTGACATAGAAATAACAACCTCTTTGCATTGGTGTAATATTTGGATTTATATAAAAATATTATATTGTTAAACTATTTCACTTGGACTCTCGAAGAAATTTAGTTCTTATGAACATTTCAAACTCTCCTTACATTTCTTTTACAAATTTCAAAAAAAAAAAAAAAACTATCAATTACCTTAAAGATTATATTATCCATATAGACTTAAAGATTATATTATCCATATAGACTTGATTATGTTATCACATAGACTTAAACAAAAATAATGTCCATTTTTATTTTCTTAATGAATAAAGTTTGCTCTACTTCACCTCTTTAATGAATAAAATTTGATTTACTTCACCTCTTTAATAAAGTATGGTCTACTTCTCCGGGAGCTAGATTTAATCCATGCAAAGGTTTCTTGAGCTTGTATACATGTTCTGATCCTTAAATCTTAGGGGTTGAGAGACATCAAACCAGACTCAATATAAATTAAATTGATGTAATTCCAAATTCTTTCTGAAGAATTAAAATAATAACCCACTATGTGTTACTCTTAAAAAACATTGAAGCAACCCCACCATGCTGTTCGGAATCCAATCTGAAGTGAAAGTAAAGTGGCTCACATCTTTGTTCGAAGGTAAAGGTAGTCTTTTTAACTTCCAGAAAACACAAAATTAAAAAGGTAACCATCCGTTGAAAGACACAAAACCAGACATTTGGTATACAGCAGTATAATAGATCGATGGCTTTATCAGAAAAACAGTAATAGCTGCTGCTACTACTTCAAAGATCCAATCATTGCAGAACTAGAATGAAATTACTGGTACAGCCATGCTTCATAAAAGCGTGGTCGACTTCATCAGTACCAATAAGCAACAGAACTCAATGATAATAATCCTTATTTCTCTATGATTTACTCTAAAAATATCAAAGTTCTACACCAACCCATCATTCGATATTGGCATAGCAAACAATACAGCATAGCTAAAGCAAAGGAATCCAACTCAGTTTACCATCCTTATTATTCCAGTTGCCGCAAATTTATTGTTACTATTATTTCACTGAGTATATTTCAGCTCTCATCGGTGCTAAACAGCTTCATCCTTGACAAAGGGGTTCTCAAATACCCATCCACCTCAAATTTCTTGGGACTCAACTCTCTGTATTTTTCAAATTGCTCCTTCGCCTCGTCGTTTCTATCAAGCAAGCTATAAATCATGCCTCTGCAAAAGTAAGGTCTGAAATCCTTAGAATCCTCTTTCGTAAGCTGATCATAAATCCCTAACGCTTCATTGACATTCTTCTGCAGAAACATAATCTGCGCCATGATGAGCCTCACGTCCCGCGCCTCCTTCCTCTTGTTGTCTTCCTCCGCCACGCGCAGCGCCTCCTCCAGCCGCCGCATCGCAGCCTCCCCTTCCCCTGACCGGTCCATCAGCAGCGCGTTTTCAAACAGCGCCTCGAACGAGAGCGGGTTCATCGCCAGGACCTCCTCGTAGTAGGTCCGCGCGGCGTCGGCGTCGCCGGTCTCGGCGGCGAGGCGCGCGGCGAGGAACTTCCAGTCGACGGCGTCCGGCTGCGCGTCAATCAGTCGCTTGAGGATGGCAAACGCTTCGTCGTCCTCGCCCAGCTCGAGCTTCTGCTGGAGAAGGGACTTGAGAGCGGCGAGGGCCTCGGCGTTCGTTTCGAGGAGGTCGGAGAGCGGCGAAAGGGATTCATCCTGGCTATGGTCGGTTTGGATAAGGGGCGGAGGCGGAGGGGAGGCGCGTGCGGAGGGAAATTGGAGCGCGACGGCGGCGAAGACTGCGGCGCCGGCGAGGGTTTTAAGATTGGGGAAAGAGGGGAATTTGGATTGGGACCGGACGGTGAAGCGAGGAGAATGTGAGGGCGTCGTGGCGGGGATAAAGGAGAAGATGGAGGATGATGCAGATGTCAACATCGTGGAATTAGGGTTTACGCAGAGCGGGGAAAATGATGCTAAGGAAGAAGCAAGGTGGATTTGTTTGCTTGTTTGTTTGGGGTTTAATCGTCAAGGTATTTTTTAGGTTAAAGTCAATTTTATTTTATGTATTTTATGTTAAATAAATGTAGTTAAAGAGAACGTTTTTAAAATTGTAACACTGGAACATGAGCTTTGATTGTTACACGTGGTAGGTGAGAGAATGGTGGTGGTAGGTGCTTTTATTTCTAGCGGACACGTTTCTTTAATGCATCTGCCCTTTTATCTATGTTAATAGAAAAGAGTTTGTTAGTAAAACATTGAAAAATATAATTAAAAAAATGTTCAAAATAAAATAAAAGAAATTGTGTACAAATCAATTTTCTTAATTAATAACTTTGGAAGACAATAACACCTTCAACTCAAAAAAAAAATAAGTCAAATATTTGATGGAAGGACAAGAATCTTTCACAAGATCTATTTCGATTAATAATTTCTTGAATTATACTTCTTTCTTAAAATCCTTTAAAGAAATGCATAAAGAGGCAGATAAACTTATTAAAGCAACCAACAGATAAAAAGAATGAACAATTACCTGGAAAATAAAATAAAGAATCTTGAAAATGAACTTCAAGTAAAAACTGATTTTGAAAATCTTAAAATAATTTACAATAAGTTTGGGTGCACACAATAACAAACTATTTTAGAAAAAACTTATGATAGTCTAGTTGATCAAGACGATTTTAAAAATGTGTGTTTGATTGTGTAGGCATTAGTTAGACTTCTATTGTCGATAAAAAAACTAAGGTTTTTAAAAACTATTTTCATATAGAAAACAAATTTCTACACCTTTCACTATATGTTTCTATTGCATGGAAAGGGGTCACAAAATTAAATTCTACAATATTAGGAAGTATGCAGTTCGTAAGAGAAAAATGAAATAGGTTCCCAAACTGACTTTACAAATTAAATAACCTTAATGGACCCTATCATTTCAGAGGGTACCAAAACAAAATTGATTGATCTTTCAAGTACAACTGACAGAAAATCTTTGGTACTTGGACAGTGACTACTCAAGACATATGACAGGAGATATTTCTAAGTTTCATAACTTGAAACTAAAACTTGGTGAAACTGTCATATACGATGACAACAATAAAGACAGAATTCTTGGATTATGTGACATCAAGTGTGTTGAATCTAGAGTCATTCATAATATACTGCTTGTTGATAGGCTGAAGCACAACTTGATCAGCATTAGTCAGCTTTGTGATAAAGGTCACAAAGTCACCTTTGAGCTTGAACATTGTTCGATACATAAATGAGGTTTAGATCAGGTAATGGCCATAGGTAAAATGGTAAATAACATCTATATGTTGGACATAAACTCTGCAGAAAGTTATTGTTTTATTGCTAGAGAAAATGATTCTTGGTTTTGACATAGAAGGTTGGCTCACATTCATATGCATTATAATTGCCAAAGAACTTGTAATTGGTCTGCCTAAACTCAAATTCGTGAAGGAGAATGTTTGTGATGCATGTCAAAAAGGCATACAAATTAAAAAATTCTTTTTCACAAAAAACTATTGTTTCTACTTCTAGACCACTTGAACTTTTACATGTGGATCTCTTTGGACCTTCAAGAACTATAAGTTTAGGTGGAAATATCTATGTATTGGTTATTGTAGATGACTTTTCAAGATTCACCTGGATATTATTTTTCAGAATGAAATCTAATATTTTCTCTGCTTTCAAAAAACTTGCCAAACTAATTCAAAATGAAAAAAGGTATTTCATCTCTTGCATTCAAAGTGATCATTGGGGAGAATTTTCAAATTAAAAAATTGAAAGGTTTTGTGAAAAACATGGCATCAAACATAACTTTTCTGCACCTAGAACTCTTCAATAGAATGATGTTGTTGAAAGGAAAAACAAGTCTCTTGAGGAGTTTCCTAGGACCATGTAAAATAAAAAAGTTTTACCAAAGTATTTTTGGGCTGATGCAGTTAGCATAATATGTCATGTGTTAAATTGAGTTTTAATTAGACCATTTCTCAAAAAGACTTCCTATGAACTATATAGGGGCAAAAAGCCAAATATAAATTATTTTAGAGTGTTTGGGGTGCAAGGTTTTTGTTTTAAACAATGACAAAGAAAATTTGGGAAAGTTTGACTTAAAATCAGATAAAGGGATTTTGTTAGGTTATTCTACAAACAGTCATGCATATAAAATCTATAACAAAAGGCTTTAAACAATAGAAAAATTTGTGCATGTTGTTTTTTATGAATCTTGTTCAGATGTACAGAAAAGCACAATAAGTGATGTAAATGAAGAAATATTAACTGATAAGTTTTATCAATTAAAATTGCCAGAATAAGCTTCTATTCAAATAATACTTGAGAATTCAGAAGAATCTGAAGACAAAACAGAAAAATAATTGCTTAAGGAATAGAAGACTCTAAGAAATCTCTTAATTGACAACATCATTGGTCAAATCAACTAGGGAGTTTCCACTAGACGTTCTTTAAACCAATTATGCAATCATACGACTTTTGTTTTCCAAATTGAACCTAAAACAGTAACTGAATCTCTAAGTGATAATTAGTGGTAAATGCAATGCATGAGAAACTAAATCAGTTCACTAGAAATAATGTATGGGAATTAGTTCCTAAACCGGTTGATGTTAACATTATTGGAACAAAAAATGGGGTTTTGGAAATAAATTGGATGAACATGGTATTATCACTCGAAATAAAGCAAGGTTGGTAGCTAAATGATATATTCAACCAAAAGGAATATATTTTGATGAAACATATGCACTTCTTGTTAAATTAGAAGTTGTTAGACTACTACTTGCTTATGTTTCTATGAAGAATTTCATGTTATATCAGATGGATGTCAAGGATGTCTTCTTAATTGTTATTTAAATGAGGAAGTGTATGTCTCTCAACCACCAAGATTTGAGAATCACAAATGTCCAGAACATATGTTTAACTCAAAAAGGCCTTATATGGTTTAAAGCAAACACCAAGACAATGGTATGAGAGGTTAAACAATTTGTTGAAACATACAAGGATATGAATGTTGAACTTACATGGATATGAAGCTTGTAGATTTTGATGATGATTCAAGAATTAAGGACTTAAAGATTTGAAGACTTATATTGTTATGTAATAACTCTGTTTTTATGATTTTGAGTCTGTAATATTAGAGTCCAAGATAGCTAGCACATAGTCCGCACTTTAAAGACTTTAAAAACTCATTTTTATCAAAAACATACTGGATTAATCGATTAAATGGCAGGATAATCGATTATTACAGAGAGAAAAACCATTTTCAGCATCTGCTCTCTGGAATAATCGATTAAACCATCTGTTAATCGATTAATTGGGCTGTTAATCGATTAAATGCCCAGTTAATCGATTAAACTGAGCTGTTTTGGGTTCCCTGCTATTTTGGCTCTGGAATAATCGATTAACAGTGATGAAGATATTGAAAGTGATGAAGATCTTATTGATTCATTTAAATGAAGATCTTGTTGATTTGATGAAGTCAAAATAAAGTCAAAGGATATTCTGTTGCAGTCAAAGGTCACTTAGATAAAAGGGTAGAGTGATTAGTGAGTCTGCATCTTTACTTAGGTATAATCATTCTTATCTCTCTACTGCATGAGGTTTCTTCATTTAAAAGATTTTGCAAATGCCTCTAAAACGTGTTTAAACTATTAAAAACAAAGTATGTTAAATGGTTTTTAAGTAACTGTTTTAACTGATATTATATGAGTTTTATCAGTTAAAATGTTCTTAACACTTTCATAACAGGTTTTTATCTGATAGGTTTTCGAAATAATCGATTGAAACCTTTTAAAACATACACTGGAACTGTTTTAATTTATATATCTTCGAAATAATCGATTGTTTTCATTAAAAGAGTTTTTGGAAACCTTCTGCCAGTATTTTTAACTGATGTAGAATTGATATAATCGATTAAAATGACTTAAGTTGTTTTGAAAAGTGTTCTGGCAGAATTTTAATCGATACAAACTTGAAATAATCGATTAAAATAACTTGAATTATTTTGAAAGATGTTCTTTCAGTATTTTAATCGATACAAATGCGAAATAATCGATTAAAACAACTAAGAAATTTTTCCAGAATGTTTTTATCGATTAAAAAAGTATGTTATCAGTTAAAATAAATTAAAAAGTTTTATGAAATCTTTTGGCGGAATTCTAATCGATTAAAATGCGATTCAATCGATTAAAATAACTAAGAGGATTTTTTCCAATGTATTTTAATCGATTAAAACAGATTGTTATCAGTTAAAATTACTTAGAAAGTTTATATGAAAACATTTTACAGTATTTCAATCGATTAAAAGGCGAAACAATCGATTAAAACAATTTGAAGACGAAACAATCGATTACAAAATATTTTAATTGATATAAACGTTGTCGTATCAGTTAAAACAAATCTGGAAAATGATCAAGAACATTTTAACAAATTAAAAGAAGTTTTAACAGATTAATTCAAGACTTTTAAAAAATTAAAAGATTGTTTTAATAGATTGATTAAACCAGCAGTTTGAAAAATCCTCTATATAAACAGGATTGCTTGAGTCTTTTAAAACACATCTTTTAGCAATCAATCAAGCAATCATAAGTGCTACTTTCAAGAGAGATTCGCGCAAGTTTTGTGAAGTTTTTCGTAGCTCTTTCTTGAGGAAAATTTTGCATTCTTTTTGTGAAGAAACTCATTCTGCAGAGTTGCATAAACCTGGTTTGAGAGTTATAGTTTCTTCTTTTTGTTTCTTTACTTTTCTTTACTGTATTGTGGGTGTCTGGAATTGTGGGCACCGGTTTCTGTGGCTGGAATTTGGCTGCAGGGTTGGTCAAGAACTAGAAGTTGGTTCTTGGTGAAGGTTTAAGTGCAAGGACTGGAATTGTGGTTCTTGTGGTAGATTGGGTGTGTGATTGGAATTGTAATCTGTAAAACATTCA